TCTACACTACAATCAAAATGGTTTCTCAATATTGCAATCAAATTTAACACATCCATACGGAGTGTTTTTTTTGTATCGCCCAAGGTGTGTGTGTTCGTCGCGTTACATGGTCCGCCAGATACCTCCATGTGCCATATAACTAATCCATCGTAATGTCTGGTCGCTATGGAATCTACCTTGACAATTCCTGAATTTGTCCCGGATTTCGTAATTTTTGCAGAGCGGACGTGAGACTCGATCCAGTCGAAATCGAGGTTAAAGAATGTTTTCTCATAAAATTTATAAATTGACGAGATTTGGTAAGTTATGTATTTACGTTCACCTATCTTTTTGTCTATTGTGGGATTAATATCAACTAGATTGTAACTAAAGAGTAGTTGTCAGTATTTTCTCTTGATTAATTGATTAGCCTCAACATTACTTACAAATCAAGGAGGACTTTTTCACAGTACAATCGGAAAAGATTGTCCGGAACATCAACCAATATAGCATTTTTAAATTGTTTTCCGGATTTTTTTAGGACATTGTCAATGTAATTTTCTATATCGGGCGTCCATATTTCAGGGTTAGTATCGCGTACAGAAGAAAGTTTGTTTGCAAACTCCGCACCGATTTCTAAAGTCAACTCGGCGGACTTATCAAACGCGCATATTACAGATATCTCTTCGGAATATCTGAAGGAATTTGTAAGACACTATTAGATTGCCTCTCATTCATTAAGAATACACAATGAGAGAGACTTACTGAAGAATTTCTTCATTACTTATCGGTCGCTTATCGGGAGTTGTCTTCAATGAAATTAAGACCCGCGGAACTTGCGGTGGGGTTCTAGGTACCGGAGATTCCGCCGATTCCGAATTAGTGGCATTATTTGTTCTTCTTATCTTCCTCGAATCCCTCTCTTCATCCGATCCATCTATTTCAGCGTAATTAACACGTTTCATTGGACGAGATGATCTGCGTATTGAAGGTTCTCCCTGCGATTTATTCGTGATTAAAAAAAGATTTGTAGCCTTATTGCTAATCGTGATTAAAGACCTACCAGTTCTTCTTCATTTTTGTCTGATGCAATATAATTATTTGTTCCGTTGCTGGCGATCCCGCCGTAGACAGCTCCACTGTTAGAAATTTGCCGAATTTGCTGGTTGATGTGGAATTGCTTCTTTAAACGCTCTTCCTCCCAATTAATCGCCTTCTTTCTATCGGGTCGAGGTTCCTAGGATAAAATATTTTGAAATTAGGACTACTATTCAACTTTCACTGATTTTCATTCGATTTCTAATCCCATCAGAACATCAGACAAGGCTAGGAGGTCATCTGTGCCTTAATGGGTC